TTGGGACAGGCCAGCGGGACAGAACACCCAACACCCTTACTGAAGAGAGAATGAAGAGAAGAAACAGTCCATGACACAATCATGTTGGAATAACCTATATTTTCATAACTCTTTCATGTACAATTTTTATTTTGGATCAAAAGGAAGGGGGGGAAGAAGAAAATGTGTGCGGGTAGGGGAGCGGGGCATTAGGACATCAAGAGAAGTCTTTTTACTATTATTATTTTTCCGGAGCTTGTAAATATGTTTGTGCTACATGGGAGTCTCATCGTTGGTCTAAATTAAATGCAGAGTTTTCTTTATTTTATTTTATTTCATTTCTTTTACATCACCCTGGCTTTTTGTAGAGGGAAAAAAACCCCTGAAGAGTTCCCTCACTCCAGTCGTACGGTTCTTATCTGTGGGTAGTTCAGCCTGTCTGACGAGAGATGCGTTTTTAGTCTCCTCCTGGCTGCATCTCAATAATATTACCAACTAGTCTGATGCACTTGTATAGCACAAGTTATAAGAAGTTTGAAGTAGCTTTCTCTCCATATCTTCTCCACAAACGGTAGTTCTGAAGGAATAGAAAACATATTTTTAAATGCTTGATTGGGGTAACATGAAATCAAACCATGAGACAGAAGATAAAGATACAGAGCTACTCCAGCCTGTTGAGATGCACCCCCTTCTCTCCCTGGTACTAAATGCTTCTAGATTACGATGTCTCTTACAGTGCTTATAAAAAGTATCGCCCCCTTGGACCTTTTCATGTGTCGCTGTTTTAAAGCACTGAATGACAGTGGATGTAATTAGGATTTTATTTTTTGTGATGAGTCTTTTGGCCGTCATAAGAAAACCTAAAACTCCAATAAGACATCCTCCCTACCGTAAAGCCTGGTGGTGGCAGCATCATGCTGTGTGCAGCTCTTCTGTAGCGCGGCCGCCTTGCCTCTGACGGCAGAAGGTTAAATAGATGTCTGTTTTCAAACAGGACAACCCATATCTAAATAAAGCCGAATCTAAAAGACGTAAACGGAGAATGTGAGAGAATTAGTGTTTGATGTGTAAAGCTGTTACAGGCCTAGTGAAAAGACCTAAGGCTGTAACTATTGCCAAAGGTGCCTCTATGAAGTATTGTCTCAAAGGAAATGGATACTTACGCAATCAGGAATTATGTCCATTTTGTACCCAAGGAATCTGAACATTATTTGAATGTTCAGTGTCTAAAATGCTGATTACCTCCACTACTGTCAAACATTCAAAGTCAAAGGGGGCTTCCTACCTTTTTAAAGGCACAGTATTTGCCGTTCCACCTCAGAGTTGTTTTTCCCGGGAAACTAAAAGAGGAACAAATGTTTTTCCAATGATGTACTTTTAAAATGGTAAAAGTTCATGAAATGGCTGTTGTTTTTGTTGTCAAATGTGTCATCATGCAAAGGGAGAAAAGACTTCCCAGTGTTTTAAAAAAAAAGCCGCGAGACAAAAGGGGAAAACCCATGTGACGAACGGTGGAAATTTAAAGTCGGCCACTTTATACAAGTTCTCTTAAAACTGGTTTTGTCTCTTTATATGTCTGAGGTTTTGGTACATGTCTAGATCCCTGAGATCCCCTGAGCATGAATAAATGCAAAGCCAGGTTAAGGGTGCGAGGACCCCATTGCTAAGTTTGTAGTGAGTGTCCTGCCCTTCCATAGAGGACAACAGAAGCCTGCATCGTGACATATCAGCCAACCAACAGGAGGGGGGGGGGGGTGCCATTTCTAAACCAAGTCATCTCAGAGGGGGAGAGGAGTTGAAAAAAAGTAAATTAAAAACCATTTTACAGGATATTGTGTTGTCTGATGTTTTGTATGTCTCTGCCTGGTTTCATTCACCCTGTTATCTATTCATTCAACCACATTTCTGTTGGAAAAAAACACACATTTTATTTGGCAGAAAACATGGCATATCAACAAAGTGCAGCTTCTTCCTGAAGCGAGCTGGACAGTGGCACTTTGGGAATCGTTGTGCAATTATGCTCTCACACTTAGCAAGTCTGTAAATATAAGCAGTATACTTTATATAAACATTGAAACAAACACGTTACATTAGGCAATGGTCAAACCACAGTGACTCAATGCATAATCTATTCATCATTGCTACTGTAGTCTCCGTAGTGCAGCTGTTCACATTAGGATACTATTTCCTGCTTAAAGGAATATGAAGGCATGATCATTGGAGACAAACCCTGGTGAAGATGCACAATCTGGGACAAAGCCCTTCCTTTTTAGGGATAGCATTTGACAGAATGGTTGGTAGGCCATCCAGTTCTTTCAGCCGGGCCGGCTAAAATAACTGGTCGTGCTTTTTACAGTACTACGGCTTCCACAGATGACATTTTGTTATGGATTTGTTGTCAAAGCACTTCAGATATTCATTGCTATCGGGATGGTAAGAGCAATCCATGGAATATAACAAAAAGTGTATCTCAAGCCGGTTTCTCAAACTTACGTACCCCACCTTTAATTGACGACATAAAAAAAAAAGAGACATTTCACCAAATCTCACCCAACCATTCTTAATAATGTAGTGTAAATAACTGTTTAGTTGCGTTGGGAATACAAATTCAGCTGTGTATAAAATGTGGTAAAACCTCTTCACAGACAAACCATTCATACCCGAACATCAAAGTATGTGAGCAGAGAAGCCTGATGACGTTACAGCGGGTCTCTTTAAGGCAATGTGACACTGCCGGAGGTCCAGTTAGAGCTCCTAGTCGAAGCCTTTAGTGATCAGGCCTGAGGTCAGAGCATAGAAACAACTGTTGGGTCATTTGTCTTTGTGTGTCTCTGGTTCTGGTGGTGGTGCTGTCAGTCGTTTCATCTGTAGATCCACTCTGGCTTTGCGTTGTTTCTGGACCAGGTTTCCGCCTGCGTACCCCAGTACCCCCCCTCCCAGAGCAGCAGCCACCCCTGCTGCTTTGAACCCCACCAGCAAGCCGAGGGGACCCCCCAACACACCGCCCAGCAACGCCCCGGCAACCGGCAACAGCACCAACTTGTAGCCCACCGCCTGGAGAGACAGGGAGAAGAGATATAGTTTAATTTAACATCCACACACACACCTTGGGAGGCATTAGTACTTTGTGGTAGAGTTTGGAGGCGTCTATCCTTTCATGATCACAAATCCAGCCAGGGAAGGAGGAAGAAAAAAAAAAAGAAGAAGACCCAAACAAGCCTGCATGTGTAAATGTAAATCAACACCGCCATAGCTGCTTCAAAGACTTTTCATTATCTCCATTTAGAGGAAATCAGAGAGATGTGGCCTGGGTGTTATTACGGCTGTTATCATCAGAGTCGAAGGTGCGCTTTGCTGATGACAATTAATGACACAGATACACACACACACACGCACATGCAGGGACACACACTTGATTAACACTTCACCATTAAATTAATCTAGTTCAAAAGCTAGCATTGCTTGTCCCCACCCCTGTGGCAATTGAGGGAATATTTAATTTAATCTGAGCCGAGTTAAAAGGACTCTGGGCACAGGTTGTGGAGGACGGAGAAATATCTATGTGTGTGTGTGTGTGTGTGTGTGTGTGTGTGTGTGACGCTTTATGACCTGATGACAGATTACAAGCTTTCAAACGCGTGAAAACATCTGACATACCTCTCATCTGTTTTATCTCCCCCCCCCACCGTCTAATGTGCAGCCCACTACATCCAGCAGCAGCGTGACAGAGGTCGACCTTTGTTTGTGTCGCCAATTGGGTGAATTTAAATTAAAATAACCCTTTCAAAAGAATATTTTAATATTTGCGAAATTTATTTTATAAATGTTAGAGTTGCAGCTCACAGTGTCAAAGGTTTTTTCGCCATTTCATTTCATTCAAAACAGCTGATTTTACCCGACACCAATGGCGGGGAATGGAATCACGCCATAACATTAAATAACAATGAAATGAAATGGAATAGATTTGGTTGAATATCGGGGTTTTTTATGCATTGAACACCACAAAAATATTATCTCATTTGTTCTTTAATGGTGGCAAAAATCTCAGTAACCAGGACAACTCAGTATCTGCACGGCTCGATTAATACCACTTTTTTGTAATTGACATAATAACTTTAGGTAGCCTTGGCAGGACTGTGTAAGCAGCTAAGAAATGTCTGTTTTTAATGTTCTGTGCAGTGTTAGCATTTATAGGTTTGTTTCAGCACACAGGAATCTCGACTTGGTGTCGTCTAAGAGTCTGTAATTACAGTGTAATTACTTTAGGCCTCTATTATGTTTTTTAAAGTGTGAGCAAAACACAGATCAAAAAAGACTGCTTCATCTGACACACAAGCCTCTCATCACCAAACAAAACAGTGAAAGTAAAGTTAGAAAAATGTCACAATCCTTGGTAAAAGAAACAGTGTTCACTGGTGTGTGTGTGTGTGTGTGTGTGTGTGTGTGTGTGTGTGTGTGTGTGTGTGTGTGTTGTACATTAACACAAACAGGTGATTCATTCTCAGTATTACAGGCAAAAGTTCATCATTTCAATTGAGTAATACGTGTGAAGGGCACTGAGTCGTCCTTCTGAGTTACACTCAGTGTGTGAGAGTGTATTGAATTGAATAATGGAAGGCCAATGCTGCTCCTGAAAAACTATTAAACAGTCATTCAAACCTCTCTTTAACACCACACACACACAAACACACAGATCCTCTGTTGTCCCCCCTCTCATCCTACCTCTCTATCACTCTTCCTCCCCTCCCCTCTATCGCTCTCCTCTCTCTATTTCCTTAATTGCAGCTTTCCTCCGTATTCGAGCGGATCAATAGGGACAAACGCTGTGGAATGGCTGGGAGGCAAAGTGCCATCGATCTCCCCATCTCCCAAACATTACACACACACATATCAGATCATCAGGACACACACACACACACACACACACACACACACCTTCCCCAGGCTCTTGGTCCCTTCCTCCACGTTGGCAGCGGCTGCGTTGACGTTGTCCTCGATGCTGTCAATCTTCTCCTGCTGGGACTGATGCACAGGGTGAGACACACACAAACACATATTAAAACACACACACAAACACATTCAAGCAAGCTCGTTCACCTACACACACACACACCAACACACACATTCAAGCAAGCTCGTTCACCTGCACGCACGCACGCACGCACGCACACACACACACACACACACTAAAAAAACAACCACCTGTTGTGTTCTCTATTTTATTTTTGCCTGAACAGATTCTGTTCCATGGCACAAGTTAACACAAGTTGGGTGTGTATGAGTGTGTGTGGAGGTTGTAGGTATATTCAAAGGATGTCACTGGGGGTGGGGTCTGTGTGTGTGTGTGTGTGTGTGTGTGTGTGTGTGTGTGTGTGTGTGTGTGTGTGTGTGTGTGGCATTGTGTAGATCTCATGAAATATTCAGAGTGGCAGCTGTCTCTCTCCATGTGAGGGCTGGATGGACACAGTGACCAAACAACAACCACAAGCACTTTCCTCCTCCTCCTCATCCTCCTCCTCTTCTTCCTCCTCTTCTTCCTCCTCACCCATTCTCTCTTTCTCCTCCTCTGAGCTAAAAGTTATTTTATAGATTCAGTTCTGTCCATTTTCTACATAACAAAATAATAAGGCTGCAACAAACTAAATTCATCGAATAATCTGCTTATTGTTTTTCTTGTTGAAATGTCAACAAATTCGAAAATGTCCATCGTTTTTTTCCACAGCCCAACCCGACATCTTCTGTCTTACTTTCCAAACAGTCCAACACTTAAAGTAATTAATTCCACAATTATATGAAACAGAAACTAGCAGCAAATCTACAGACAAAAAGTAGGGAGCCATTTCGAGTTCAGTCAGCGACCTTTGTTGCATCTCTGCCTATTTTCATGTTATAATCCAAAAAAGGCATTAAACTATAAATCAAAAACAAAGGAAAGACAGTTGCTCATTTATTTTCTGTGGATCAACTTAATGTTGCATCTCTATTTCGTTAAAGTATATTTATGAGTTTTGGGCAAATCTAGGAAAGAATGAAAGTGATGAATGTGTAAGCATGCCTTTATACAGATGATGCACCGTAAAGTCATTTAGTACTACAAAGAAAAGATTGATAATGAACTTCATTGCTTATGTTTTATATTATAATATAATATCTTCTGTTTTAATGATCTCAAATCCAATCCCAATCCTCTAATACAACTGAATACGCAATTAAAAGAGGTTAGTCACATAAGATGCTTTTAAAATCTTCCTTAAATTAAAACGGCTTAACAAATAATTTCACAATTGAACTGCTATATTTGTCGGCTTCATTTTCAGCGCAATCACATGACAGGCAGATGACTGCCCTCGAAGACACACGAAGAGAAACAGAGAGATAAGAACAGAGCGCGGAGCTGACGTGTTCACACACAAACACACACTCAGTATTTCCACTGTGGCGGAGCTGGAATATTACTCCCCTATCGGCGCCTTTCACCCCTGAGACACCACAACAACATGTCTATGCTCTTTCTTTCCCCCCCCACCCCCCTCATGCCTCTGTCTTGTTTTTTTTTACCCTAACTACATCTCCACTCTCTCACTTTCTTTTCCCCTGTTAATCTCTCCTCCGCTCGGCCGGCCTGCTCCTCTCTCTCCACCCCTGAGGATCGAGTGATAATCTGAGCCGTCTGTTTTCCACCTGCTCCGATGCAGCCATTGTCCCCCTCCTCTCCCCCTGTGGAGAACTCGCCATCCTCCCGCAAGTCCTCCCTCTCGCCCTCGACTACTTCTCAATCTCCCCTCCTGCCTGGGCGAGGGGGCCTCTGGGGCCCGAGCAGTCATCCTGAGCCGATGTGTGTAGCCTCCTCTCTCTGAGGAGCCTAACCAGGCAACACAGGCACAAGGTCAAACACTACTACTCACCACTTCCTGGAAACGCTATAGGCTGTCACACTGCTTTTGTTCAGCTGTGCACACATGTAGAAAGAGAAATGTGAGCGTAGCAGTGGAGTACTCACATGGACGAGCAGCGAGAACTCCGTCACCAAACCACTCAGCTCCTTCAGGTCCTGAGAGAGGAAAAAATGACCGCCTGTATTTTATTGTTAAACTTAGTTATCACACAAATCTAAAGCTACTGTACAATAGCATGAATAGTAAAGTGCGTTGTATGTTTAGCAGTAAATCAGCTAAATAGGGGCATCTGTATGAACAGGTGAGAGGGGTCATCTGCATTAGATGATCTTTAAATAGCAGGAAATAAAGCACGTAACTATAGCAACATTTAGTACAGCCAAAGTATGGAAACCACCTTGTTGCACTTTGTGTTCCCTGCTTTGATTGACGCCTTTTTCACAGAAGATAGGTATCTTTGAGGCCTATATTAGAGATGTATAGAGTTGAGCGGGGGAGACATTGCCTGAATGTTAGGCCAGCTCGGGATTCGAACCGGCTTAATAGTCAGCAGTTTAGGCCTATGGGCAGCCAGCTCTAACCACTGAGCTATCCAGCGACATTTAAACACATGAGGAAGAGCAAAGGTGTACATAATAAAATGGATGTTGGCTGGTTTACTTTCAGGATCCAGGTGTTTTGCCTACTGCCACGACCTACTGGGAAACTTAAAGAGCAACAACAGGGTTTATGTTTTTAGTAATGTGCTTTTACGCCAGTCAATCAAAGTGTCCGCTGTGAAAAACACCCACTGTGTTTCATTTGGCTGAACTCCTTCTTAAGTTCACTTCCATAACTCTTTAGCTGTTGTTTAAGAAACCCTTCATCCTATGCATTTTCTTTCTTTCTTTTTAGGAAGGTAAAAATGGTAGATTTTTCTTTTAGAATAAAACAATTCATTGATAGAGATAAGTTTAGAAAGATAAATACATTTTTAATAAATAGGTTAAAAGTACCTGTTGTCTGTATGTCTTTAATATAAAGTGCTATTTTTAGTCAGGGAATAGTTTTGTTGTTTGCGACAGATGAAGCAAGTTTGATGATATCTTACGAGCAAGGCTTTTTGTTTTGTTTTTAAAGTTTAAAGGAGGAGAACCTTTGTCTTGCATACCAACACTATGTTGTACACCTTGAACTCACACATCAAGAATAAGGGACCGTAAAACATTCGAGCAAAAAGACACACTAATAACATTAATAAAATCAGATAAGGAGTATAATAATAATAATAATAATAATAATAATAATAATATGAAATCCATGTATCCAGTATGAAATCCAGACTGAATGTTTAGTCCCCACCTCTTCCAGGCTGTCCCAGGACTCAGCAGCACTCTGATCAGCAGGGATTTCTGGGAGCTGGAGCTGGATTTGCCTGCCAGACAGTGGCTCCTCACACACATCGTCATCGTCGTGGTAACTGCTGGACACACATCTGTTAGGCTGAGCGGCAGGTGGTGTTTTGGGCGCAGGCTGAGGCACGGGGTTAGAGTGCAGAAGCAGGAAGTCTCTGGCGGCGGCTGACGCCCTGTCTCTGACCGGCTGGACCAGCGTGTCGAGAGCGGGGGCGTCTTCGGCACGGACCCTCATGCACAGCTTCTCCATCTCCCTCATGTTCGCTCTCAACTGCTGCAGGGAGGCAGAGAAGAAGCGGGTTTCTCAGTGAGATCAAGGGTAGAGAAATGTATTGTAAAACGTGAAGACTGCCTGATGGGTCTCTGTTAATAGCAGACTGTTTTGAGCTGTCTCACAGCAAAAACACATAAGACACAACAAGACATCCCATTTATACCGGTCTCAGATATATATATATATATAAAACATGGCTCTGAAATGTTTGTCTTGAAATACCAAACAGATTGTGCATTGCAGCATCCCATAATCCCCTCTGTTTCAGCCCTGTTTCAAAAGTGCTGTTTCTCTGTCTTTTACTTTAGATAAAAATAAGGAGCCACTCCCCACGCCCCTCTGTGAGAGATATTTGGTTAAATAAAACACAATGGTGCTCTAAGAGGAGATTCAGGTGAGTAAGGGGCTTCGGGGGGGGGGGTGGGGAGGTTTTATATTGGTTGGTGATTGGCTAATGGTTACACAAGCCAAAACATCGTTATGACATCATAAAGTGGCCAAAATCTGATCAGCTCATTTTCAGACAGGTTTTTATAGAAATGGATCAGGACAAAAAGAGAGAGAATCTTTTTTCCTGAAACTTTCAGAATCTCTTTACACAGAGGGGACACATGTTGATGTATAAAAGACATGAAAAAGTGGATTCTGCATAATAGGTCCCCTTTATGTAAACAATTTATAAAGAAGGAGATACAGCTTAAATGATCCTAAACAATTAATTTAATGTACAAATAACACATTTTAAATCCTTTGAAAAATGTAATTCCTGGCCCTTTTAACCCAATTAGAAAATAAGTGCTCATGCTGACAGGTTGAGCATCCCAATAAACGGTCCTAGTGAAGGAAAATGTGTGTGCGTTGGGGTGTGGGCTTAATAAGGTTCAGATATGAGGCAGGGAACCACGAGCCCCCTCATCGCACCGTGCCCTGAGGGTGACAGGAGGATTACATCCCAGCCATCAGCCCTCCAGACCGCCACCCGCTCTGGGCTCAGGGGGTCAAGGCACTGCCGATAACACACGCTGCTAATTACACAACATGAATAAACATACATGCATACACTGGTCCTCGTGTGCATGAAACTGAAAAACACACTGATTAACAGAGAGGCAGTCTGGTCAGGCACCTGTCAGCACGCAAATGAACCGTGAACGTTTGAAGCTCCAACACACAGACAGACCCACCAAACATATACTCAATAGCAGATATTCATGATAGAACAGCATTACTCCGCTCCTGTCTCACAGTGTGTGCTGAGGCTGCTGCGGTCAAGGTGGGGACACCGAGGCTAGGAAGTAAATGTCAATCTTCAAGAAGGGGGAGAGGTTCTTTCTAGGGGGAGGGACAACAGACTAAACAGACTGAAAAACATCTCATAGACATATTAGCCGACCTACGATCTATAAAGGGTGTGGTTATTACTGGTACTATTGATATAATGGTAATAATACACAGAATAATATCTGGTTAAGAATCGTGTACCTCTCCTTTTTTCTCCTTCTGTATGCTGTTATAAAGCTATGGATACAGACTGTTTATTTTGAGTGTGTTTAATTTGCTAAAAAGGAACAATAACTACAATAACATGAAATCAATCTGACTGATAGAATTATTATTATTATTATTACATAATACTATCTTCAGATAATGCAATCATATTTTTGATATAGTGACAGCCCTCCTTTCTTTTTCTGTCTACAGACATCTATCCATCTATCCTGCTATGCTATGGAACACCGGCCCACGTGCACACACATCTGGAGCTGAGTAGACTAACCCTTCTCTGGATTAACACCATGCAGACACGGTAAAGCACTCTGTGTGTGTCCCTGGAGTTGGCAGGGTAATGGTGAGAGGATGGGTTTGTGCCTGTTTGGAGTTATTTCACCTTCGGAGACATGGTGGCTTCCAGGCAACAACATCCTCTGAGACATTTCACACCCACCATGTGAACAAGACTGCAAGTACTTGAAGACACACACAAAAAATGGTCCATTTGAGGATGGGCAACAGCTCTTTTGTTGCCCTGATTTTGTAAGGCCGAACTTCTATACAGAAAGTTGATTTATTTATAATAAACAGATCCAGTCCTGGTGTGTATTTAATAAGTTATTATAGTATAGGCTTTTTAAGGAAATGTATAAAATGTTTTTTTAAATTAACAGATTTTACTGATTTAATCGATAGTTTTAATCACATCTCTTTGCTCTCAACCGATAGAGTGGCTCAGTAGTCAAGGAGATGGTTTAGTTATTAGCTTGTGACTTTGGAAATAAAATAATAACACAATACAAAAGTGACAATTCTCTCACGGTGTGACTACTTGCTAATATTTAAAGGTGGAGGAAATATGTAATATCTTTTCTCATATATGATTTTTCCAGTGAGACACATTTTGCATATTGTGTGTTTTGTCAAGGCCCTTTTTCACTTCAACTTCATTGAAACCATAATGCTTCCCTAAGCTAGCCTTTAAACCAGAGGGTGGTGTTGGATTTCATCCATCTCCATGTGCTCACGCTCAGACATCCTCACCAAAACTCAAAAAACCTTGCTTCGACTGTAAACAAGATGCACATGTTTACGTCTGTTATGGTTCACGTCCAAATGGTTCTGCCATAAAGAACGTACAGCCTGATCTAATTAAATGGTCACACGCGATCATACTATCGATAATTATTTACGTTTTTTCTCCATTCCCATTTTTCACTTTTAGTATTCTAACTGTAAAAACTTGACGAGTATGTATAAACTAGAATTTACAGCTTCTGTTTCACACATATTTCAAGACACTACAACTTCTAGCCGATGACTAGTATCACACACACACACACACACACACACACACACACACACACACACACACACACCTGGTTATTTTTGTTTTTCAGTGTTATGTAAGTATGTATGTTAAGCGTCTTTGATCATTAGGAAAAGTGCTACAAAAATCCCATGTATTATTATTATTATTATTATTATTATTATGTTATACCTGCACAGTTCTGCTGGCATTGACGTGCTCCAGATGAAGCCGGTCCCATTGTTGGCTCTGTTGGAACTGTGGAATAAAGGAGAAACTGTTATCCATGTGAGGACCGGAAGTGAGAATGTGGATGTGAGAGTGGGATCATGTGTCCAGCCAGATCTCATCCGTCACCTTCAGTATGTTGTTGTGGTGTTTCTGCAGCCTCTCCAGGTCCGTGGGCAGAGCCACTTTAATGAACTTGTGGATCGGTGCCTCCAAGCGCCTCAGAGTCAGCTTGCTGCCTTCCTCTGCCATGTGTCCTGCTGACTGCCCACAGCCAACACCTCTTTGTAACTTAGACACGGCACCTGCTCAGCCTTATCTCACTGCCCCCACAGACACTGTAAATACCAGCAGAGTATGATTTTATTAAATACGTAAATCAAATGAATAAACTCTGTGACACATGCAAGTCTGCCCACATATCTCAAATTGGCACCTCCCTAAGACTACAATTATTTGTCTTGCCTACATCCTTTCAGTGAAAAGAGAAACTGAAGTATCACTTGCATGACACACTGACAGTTTAACATGTACACAGAAATAATAACTTGATCGGTAAATTAGTCAACAGCAAATTAAATGAAATATTTGTCAAATATTCAAATGTTGTGCCTTTATCTGTTTTATATCATATCGCATTGAAAGACTTTGGATATGAAAAACTGGGGCGGACATTTTGTAATACTTGACATGTTGTCGATTTAAATGACAGAAATGTATTTATGTATTATTATTATTATTATTATTATTATTATGTACTTGTAGAAAAACAATCCCCAGATTTAACAACAATGCTAATAATTGTTAGCAGCAGCAGTTCATAATAATGCTTTAAGACAATGTTACTCCTACTGTAGAGGCTACTGTAGGGCTATTTTAATGGCTTAAGAAGCAATGTAAGTTTACCAGACTAGTTACCAATTATAGAAGTCAAGAGAACTGTGCTTTTAGACACCTGAATGGAAATTGATAATGCTTAGAGACATACAGTTTGACAAAAGCTGAAGCTAAATGACCGGGCTAGCATGTCATTAGCTGTTAGCTTAGTAATGAAGGTTATTTAGCTAATACTTGTCTTAGATGTTAGCTAGCTCACTCATTAGCCCGAAAATAATGAAATACCAGCCTACTACAGAACACGATAACGAAAGTTAAAGGTTATATGGCGACACTTACCCCTGAAATGATCACTTCAAGATATATTTTATATTCACTAAGGACTGACTCGAACCTCCATACTGTTGACAAGATTGACTATTTTCTTGTTTAGAGCAAAGCTTTCTGTTTTTGTTCTGAATCTGCTGTTTGTAAACAAGTCTCCTCTCAGTGCGTCCATGAAAAGTTTCCGACCTCCACCAGCAGCCGCAGCACATTGTGTTCCTGATCGCTGTACCACGACAAGTCATTTCTAAAAGAATAAATAAATACATGAATATAGACAACGATACAATAATAAGAACATATTTATATCTATAGTAATTATATTTGAAGGTAAAGCATATAAAAGAAGATAAAAATAGTACTGGATCAGAATACACAAATAACACCAGACCAGTGGGTTACAAACTCAGAATGCTTTCATCAGAAGTTAATTTAATATTAAATGTATATGTAATGGGTTGAAACTATGTTGTTTGTGATTCACATGTACATTTCTAAGGCTTATTTCTTGATTCTCTTCCATACTATAAAATCGAAATAAATTAACCGGACTAAATACATGTATTAGAATTAAAGGATTATATAGGCCTATGTCTTTATCATATTGCAACAGTACTTGATCTTAATGAAGAGAAATAAAAGACGTATCAACAATTCCCATTCATCTGTAAACACACCTATACCTCACACATATCTGACTAAGGTTATAGCAGAGATAAGTGATTGGATTTATTTAGACACATTTGGATACGTTTTCTTTGATCTTGCACTTATAAACAGCATCAATCCTGCGGAATAAAAAAAAGTGTTTTTGTTTGTGTTTTGTTTGGGAGATAATTGTTGGGGTTCCCCCTCCTCTACTCTGAGATCAGCCTGTGTGAGTGGGTATATTGCATGCTTCAACTCCTCTTCTTCGACACCTTTTACCTTTGACATTTAGGCCAACACCCCACACACTCTTCCTTCAGCGGATGCTCCACGCGAGGGGCCGCAGTGAAACAAACAGTCCCCAGCTAAAGAGGATTTCCCCTAGTGATGTTATGTACACATGTTCTGTGTGTGTCTGTGTGTGTCTTTGTGTGTGTGTGTCTGTCTGTCTGTCTGTCCACTTCCAGGGGACTCCCAGTGTTGCAGACTGAGGGGGAAGAACAGTCAGACAGTATAAATCTAAATAGCAAATCATCACAAGTGTGTGTGTGTGTGTGTGCGTGTGTGTGTGTGTGTGTGTGTGTGTGTGTGTGTGTGTGTGTGTGTGTGTGTGTGTGTGTGAGAGAGAGTTTGTGTGTGCAGGTGCGTGGACTCAGGTGCCCTTCATTTCAGTCTAATCCAGGAAGTAAGTCAGCAGGAGTGGAAGGCAGCAGGAAGCCCCGTTCACTTCTTACTTCCTGCATCTTACTGTTCTTTAGAGCAGGTGTGATCAACACATCCTGATTTCTCAGTGGATACACCCCTTTTTCACAGCAGACTCAGCAGACTCAGCATGGTTGGAAAGACACAGGTGTTACTAAAATCATTAACATTAATAGCATCATTCTATTCAAGTGTTAGACAGCATGAACAAAAAAAACAGGACCCTTGAACTGAAGCAGCTAAATGGAATTCAGCAATAATGAATATCATTTACACCTGGATTTTAAAACTGTCAAATTAAACAATCTTCTCGTTCTGTGAAAAAACCCTAATGTTTCTGTAAACCCGCAGGTTTCTATTCACATGTAAACATTTGGATATCATCAGTCTGAAAGGGGTCATTTTACATTTCTGAATGGATTAGAATACACTTTGAATGTGTGTGTGTGCTGGTGCATATATATTTGTGTGTGTATGTTCTAATGGGGCCTCTAATTAAGACTGGGGGTATTTGCTATCTGTCAACACTGATCGATTGGCCAGGAGACTGACAGCTCACTGTGTATGTGTGCGCACATTTCAGTTTGAGTGTGTGTGTTTCAAGCTTCGAGCAGACCAATCGGCCTCGTGGTGGGGTTATTTTACTTGTCACTCAGAGATGTCACTGTCGTAGAAATAAGAAAAGCACATGTTAATTTGCACACACAGTACACAAATGCAGGCATAAACACTCCACTGCAAATTGATGTAAATGGTATTTTCCTACACACACAAAAACAATGTTTAAGTGCACTTTCTGGTTATTATTTCTCCCCAAAGGCGCTTGTTTTGTCTGATTCCTAACATCTCTGTTTTATTATAAAGGATACATATGTATTTTTTGTTATTCCCATCATACATTTATGTGGAGACCGTTTAACACTGTGTACTCCAACACCATGTTACCCCCCCAGAACACACACACACGCGCACACACACACACACACACACACACACACACACACACACACACACACACACACACACACACACACACACAGAGAGAGCTGTTCACACTTTCACTACAAGAAACTATCCATCACCTGTGTGTTGGAGAGAGACCTGTGTGTTGGAGAGAGAGCCTATGTGTGTGTGTGTGTGTGTGTGTGTGTGTGTGTGTGTGTGTGTGTGTGTATGTGTGTGTGTGTGTGTGTTAGTGCTCACGCTGTTGCGCAGGAGGACGAGTGAGTGATGGCAGTGACAGTATAGACGGCATGTGCTGTGAAATGTCACCGTGGCGATCGATGGTGTTTAACGAGGCTGGAGGCTGATCTGGACCTCATGCTAACATGAAGCTGTCCTCGCTTCACTCTTCCTCCCCCTACTCACCCTCCTAATCCCCCTCTAGTCTCTGAGAGAGCCCAAAGGGTCCCTCGGGAGAGTGGTGAGGCCTTTTACCTGTTAAGAGGCTTTTGTGTCTGACCAGCCAGTCACACGTGTTGTGAATAAAATCTACTCAAATTGTGTTACTTTTAAAAAGTCTTGAGACAATGTAATTTCTTTGCATTTTGCATTTTGTGTGAAAGTCGTTTAATTATTTTTAAAAAACAACAACAATCAAAACACATGACACAGTCGAGCAGAATAATCCGAACTAGTTTATGATTTCAAAGTGCTGAACAGAAAATCCAGTGAACCAAAGAGAAAGAAAAAAAAATATCGAACAGGAAACTCAAACCAAAGAGGGACATTGAAAAAAACAGCAACTTTTTTTGTTTTTTTGTTTCTCTTCTTCAAAAAACAATGCACAACTCGTACCACAATATTTGAAAAAGCTAAAAACACTCCAAAATATTAGTTTTGTATATATATATATTTATATATATTTATATCTATATAATTTGCTTTTTTCATATTTCAAACTGCTGCCGTGAGTGCGAGTGGGTGGAGGAGGCCCAGGGAAATCCCCATAGAGCTGCAGTCTGACAAACACAGGTTGAGCCGAGGCTATGACAGCTCTTGACAGCTCTTGACAGTTTATAACACCATGCATATGATCCTGGCTTCTCTAAGCGTACGCACAAAGACAGTATGCCACCATGTCCTCCACAATCTCACACGGCCTCCACAATAGAAACAAATAGAAAAAAGAGCATGACTGCGGAATGTTTCACCCCCGGACATACAGCTATCTGTCGAGCACCCTCCTCCCCCCGACTCTCCCTCCAGGGGAGCAGGTAGGGTGTGTGTCTGTGCTTCTAGCCCTTCTCAGGGTGTAAGTGCTTTAAAAGCCAGTTTCTGTCAATGTTCATTGCTCCATACTCCTACTCGACCTATGAATCCAAAATGAGTTAATACAAAAAAAAAACATACTAGAGCAAGTTCAAGTCTGGGTGACTCAGTCATCAATCGTTAGTGCACAGTATCTCCTCTGCTGCTAAAGCCAGGCGGAGGCTGTCTTTATTTATTTTAACTACTGACAGTACAGGACAAGTCTTTGCATTAAAATAATTTAGAGTTTGAAATTAAATCTCTCCTCCTCGTCGTCCTTTTAGGGAGTGAGATAGCACTTAAGAAATTGCACTTGGAATCAAGGACCTAACTCAACCGCCTCTTCCATGTGTGAAATATCTGCTTTATGATGTTTCCGCGTCTCTAGGCTGACCTCTGACATTTCAGTACATTTTCTTACGAAAATTCCCTACTCCTTCTTTCTGCAGAAAGGAACTAGAATACACAGCAACTTGTGTTTCACTGGGACATCTTAAGCTTTGAAAACATTCAAACACAGCGACATCACCCCTTCCTTCTTTACTTAAAAAAGAAGTTCTCATACTAGATGAGTCAGGCCAAAACACATATAAACCCTTAACCTTCTTTCTTTTTAGCTGGATGAGTTACCACCCAGACAGACAGACAGAGGACAGTAAAAAGTCATTTTTCTGTCGTCCATCTCAGCCTTGTCATCCTCCCCCACATGAGAAAAGCAGGAGGATCAAAGAAAAACTAGTAAAGCGTTCGAGTAATTGTCTTTCATACTGGTGAAAAGCGTTTAGTTGGTTGTCCGTTCGAGTGAAAGGCGTTCTTGATTGTTTTTTTTTGTTGTGTGAAAAGCATTTTTTTGGCTCTCTGCTCTGCATCAGTCAGAGGTGAGCGAGTCTCTCTCTGGACGTGTGCGTGCTCCTGGGGGGGGGAGGCTTGAACAGGGCGTGATGTGTGTTTTCTCTCCGTATGGTCGACCCGCGCCGTCAGTAGGGCAGAGTGTCCAGGAACCTGTCAATCAACGGAGGGGGCTGTACGAGGTCTTCCAGCTTCAGGTAGAAGATTCGTTGAAGGCCCTGGGTCCTCTGGGAACGGAGCTCTGCCCTTAAACTGAGAATACGACTCAGGGGGGGGACAGCCTTGGACGAGGAGGAAGAAGGCCCGCAGCCCAGGTGGTCTCGGAGACAACACATCACTCTATTCTGCAGCTCCTCCACCCGCTTTGAGTCCTTCAGACCTGGAACTTGCTCTGTGGAAAGGAAGAAAGTGAGACGTGAGGAAAATAATACATTAAACAGGAAAAATAACATTCTCGGAAAAAATACAAATACACACACACATGCGTCAGAGCTCATTCAGCTGACAGAGCATTAGCTACATCCTTTATATTGAATTGCACCTCATTAGCTTGTATGGCTAATGTTCTTAACAGGCCTTAACTTGTCTCACTCACTACAGATCAATACACAGTCTAACCTAATAAGACCCCTTTACACTGTGAACACACACACACACACACACACACACACACACACACACACACACACACACACACACACACACACACACACACACACACACACACACACACACACACTTTTTTCACCTCTCATGATGTTAAAGATGTCCACACTAACCTGTATGCACTCTTTCTGCCAATAACAAGCACCCTTATCCTAAGAAGAACCTGTAAAACCACTTGGTGCTTTACATTTGGCATGCCTAGTCATCACTCAGTAATACCCACACCCATGCTCACAAGTACGCATCCCCTCACACACTCAACAATACAAATATAATTGTATCCAGAGCGTCTTTACTTTCATTCCCTTGCAGAAAAATCTTGAAACCTTCCATACACTCCAAAACCACCATCAGCTTGCCTTTATTACACTTGCATGCAAGCAGATGTGTATTTGTGTGTGTGTTTGTGTATGAGTGTAAGCAAGAGGACAGACAACCCAAGCAGAGTCAGACACAGGTGGTGCAGCATAGTGAGGCGAAGGGAAACAGTCTCTAACCTCGAGGTGTGCATTTCAACTGGACAAACTGCAGCTGTTCCAATAACTGTGCGCGCTTGTTCATTGTCAGAATGCCATAGATCTAACAAATGAAAACATGAAGTTGCAAACATAAATACAAAAACAGAGGATGTTGTTTGTTGTCAGTGAATTTTGAGTTTGAATTCAGTGGTCTCACACAAGGAGTAAAGTGATTTATATACTGCACCCTTACATCACAGATACCATTTGCTATAGTTTATCCTTTTGAATGTTTTATCATCTATTTAATTTATCCAGGAGATACATTAAATTATGTTATAATATTAATTTGACAGGTTTAGTGTAAAATAATATACACATATAACAAGTGAAACATATAAACATAATTTGGCCTGAATTAGTCAAAGGCTTTTGAAGACCTTGTTGAGTCATTAGAAGGATTATTGAAATGTCAATTCAGTCGGCATGGCGAGCCACCCAAACAACCACACACACACACACACACACACACACACACACACACACACACACACACACACACACACACACACACACACGAGCTGAAACTCTCGCTCACAAAGATCAGATCAACAGCATGTTCATACAACTTTATGATCTGCTTATGAATTTAGACAGCCGTTAGAAATAGTTAAATTCTGATGTAGCCTAACCCTTAAATTGAGCATATTTTGGGGGGCCGTTTTTCTATTTTTCCTTAAAACAGAAGAAATCAAACATACCTATCACACCACAATAAGTGCTGAAATACAAACCCGAGCCACACCAGAAAATATATAAGGACGTGAAAGAAAGAAGAAAAAGAAAGAAAGAAGAACGAATGAAGGAAGGCTATACGGACGGGATGTGTCTGTACCTGATGGAAAAGCTTCGCGCTGAATGGTGCTGAGTGTCCGGGGGTGAAGGGTGGCGTGGCTGCGGCCGGGACAGGGTTCCTGGAGCGGGGAGGACTCGGCGGGCGTCGCACAGGAAGTGTCCGATCGCCGCGGCTCCAACCTCGGCTGGGCGCGCTCTTCCGAACCTGTGTCTGGAGGAGAGATGTCTGGGTCAGTGATGTGGCGGCAGGCGGAAAAACGGTACCGTCCTCTCCATTCAGCGCCAATAATAAAGCAGCAATACACACTCAATATTTAGAAACATGCATTGATCGATCTTTTACAGATTTTTTTCAAAAGGCACTGCTTTCCAAAACTTCGTTTACCGAATTTCTTCTAAAGTGGGTTGGTCTTCACACAGTATTACAGCCCAGAAAAAAAGTTGTCTATTGTTTAAATACAATAAGAAACAAAAAAATGTTTACACACTAAATTAAAAAGAAATACAACGTTTGAAAGTTAAAGTCAGAAAATCCGATGAAACGCAACAGAAAGATGACAGGGGGTGCAAACCTCTGTGCGAGAACAAGATGCCATTCACAGAAAAAGAAGATCATTGCATTATACAAGTAAATCCATTTTAAACAAAGCAAACGCAATACTTACACATTCAAATTAAACACAGAACAATTTGTCATTAAGTATGACACTGAATCTATATTGCAAAGAAAATAATATGAACCACAACTGAGGACCTTTAGCTCATTTCAAGACTTACACTTACGTGGGCGACAAGTTTCATTCTAAGCTGTGCTCCAGTATTATTATAATCTAAATGTTGCGTTTCGAAAGACAGCTTCAACAGTAAACTTATAGAAATACAGACCTACAAAAGTGAGAACTTTTATAAAATCAGCCTCGAAGCCATCGCTTTTCTTGCCTCTGATCACTGCCGTATTCGCCTGCTCAGGGTTCATCCAGAGGCAGAGAGAAACCAAGAAATGTTGGAGAGTCGGACCTGAAACCAAACCAGCCTGTGCGCCGTGCGCCTCCAACTCCCTCACTGCAGCGAGACGCACTTTGGCAGACGGATTTCAAGTCCCATAGCGCCCCCTTTCTGTCACACACTCTCTTAAATACACAAGCTCTCTCTCTGCCGGACACACATACCCTCAGGGATAAGATAGACCACTCCACATCCTGGTGTGCATCTCAGTACTGTCTGTTTACAAGCCACAGCCCCCATAACCGACTCTCAGGGCAACAGACAGGCACCTGCAGCCTGCTGTCATTTCTTATCTTTGTGTCAACACATCAAACTCTTCCACTTTTCTCCAAACTCTTACAGAACAATTCTGAAAGAAAACATTAGGTCTGAAGTTGAACTCTTTCCTTGGTCAGGATGTGGTTTTATACAAATGTGATGCTGCACAGAACCTGCACATTATGTTGAAATAAAGAAAGTCAAACCAGAGTAAACAAACACACAAATACGTGTGGAATCAATTTGAGTGCTTAAAAAACTATTTGGTTCTGGCAGTAGTAGAAATAAGATAGTCCTTGATGCAAGACAAAATAGTCATTCTTTCATAAGCTTCTGAAGTGAAGGTTGTAACTGTGCGTAAATGGGCTCTTATCACATCCTCCGAGGAGGGTTAAGAGAGGGAAAACTCACTTAAAAGGGGGGGAATTATTTTCTCCTGCAAAGTGAGACATTCAGTCCGTTTTTTCTCTCTAAATTAGCAAACGGATCCCCTTTCTCTTCTTCTCAGGCCGAGCTGGTCGGTGGGGCTCTGGCCCCGCGCGCACCGGTAACCAAGTGAACGACATAAGAGCTGTAAAGCACGCGCCCCGGAGCGCCGGTAGCCCCCGGTAGCCCCTCACACCAATAACCCTGGACAGCGCGAAGCTTCCAGCAAACAGACAGAGAAAAGAGAGGACATAAAGGAGAGACCAGAGAAATATGTGAGTACTGTAAATCTGCCCTGAGAGGGAGCCTGTCAGAATCCCCGCGTGCGTAAACCTGAGTGTGTGAAATAGATAAAGAACACAACAGAGAACAAGGAAAGGAAAAACCACTAAGTTACTCAGGAACCTTAACTCAGTAGTTACTCGCCACACAGAGATAGCCTGAAGCTTGCAGCTGCTTTGAACTAGGTGTCTTTGTTGCCATCAGATGTTTCTAGGAAATTATTCAGAGGGCTTCTGACATTTGACGTGGCTAATTGTTTTCTTCCTGCAATCAATGAAGGACACAGAGGAGAGCCCTTGTCCCCACAGAGACAGCAGACAGCTGACATTAGAGACATTTGCCAACACTCAGGCGACAGCTCAGACTCTGTGACTGTTTGGAAAAAATTACCTTTCATGTTGAGCTTTCATCCTAAAAACCAAGCCAGCGTTAATAATGATAATGCTGTATAGACTTTATTTTTGAAACATTATAATGCTCATGGTCTATCTATCAGTGTCACAAAGACAAACACACACATATCTCACAACACACCATGTAAATAACTCCTTTAGACCTTCAGCATAACCCCTCAGAAAATAAAAAAATCAGAGAGCTTTAACTCTCCTGCCTGAATGTAGGTTACTCTTCTCCCCTCAGACCATTAGTGCGTCTGACTCCACTATTCATTGTGTGAGTGAGAGGCATCTAATTTCCATGACAACCAGAAAGGATATGATACTTTCCCACTGCAAATTAAATTCAAATCCAGCTTCATTTAGCTCTTTGGACATACGGCACAGGATCAGGCGATATTATGAATAGCGTGTTGAAGTTGGACATATCAACAGGTTAGACGCACAAAGTTGGGAGAAACAGACAGAGGGTGATATTAAAGGGAAGATTCAGCTTGACATTTAGGATTTAGGAAATAAAAGCATGCGGACACATTTATAATCCATCTTTTTTGTTTTAAAGTCTGGCAGTCAAAAGCGCTACGGCAGAATATCAGACTTTCATTCATTCATTCCGAGTTTACTTACTGGTTTGCTGTAGCGGTTCCGTCTTTACATGTGGTAATAACCTTGCATGAAGTATCCTATTTCCATCCAGAATAATCACCAAGAGTCGAAGAGATGTTGAGAAAAATATACATGTAAAAAAAAATCTCTTTCTCGTAATATTGTAGAAGATCAGGATTCATCGGCGACAAAAAAAGTTTCTTCTTATTACCTTATTTAAAGTAAACTTACCAAAAAGTAGAAAAAAATGAAAGAGAACATTACACAATCAAAATCTCCCGGGTGTAAAGGAGTGTGTCTGCGTCCGCTCCCGTGAGTCTGTCAGTGCTGATGGTGTGCTTTGCAAAGTGTGGAGTTGTAACGCGGGTTTGTTTATGTGCGCCGTCTGAGTGGAGAAAGTCAAATAGTGCATTTATGTGGGCTCTGCCTCCACACTGGTATGCGCTACGTCAATGTGACGCCATGGGAGAGGTGACGTCACTCGGCGCCCTCTCTCTCCCTCGCTCTCATACTGTACCAGACACATAAGCCCTGCCAGAAAGAGAGAGAGAGAGAGAGAGAGAAAGGGAGAGGAGTGAACGATAGAGAGAGGCGGTTGGTTTGATGGTTGCAGCGGATGATGCAGAGAGGGGTCCACCATGCGAGCTTGCAGTCCTTGTGCATTTGCCCAAATGCCATTTGTATCAATAAAACGGAAGATTAATTTAAAGAGCTTAAAAAAATACCTTCATATTATTTATCAGTGAGAAGTATTTATCTAAACGTTCACTTAACATGATCCAAATCACATAAAGAAGCGATAAACTTCCTTTGAGAAATATAAGAATATTTGTGGAGTATACTTCTATTACTTTATATGGTCATTTTTATTTTCTAAATGTAGGCCTGCCACTACGTAGTTTTTTTTTTTTACCATGATACACTTATCTGTTATTTGTTTTTACTTATTGTTGGTTTATATTAATAACATGTGCTTACTTAAAAAAATGTAATATGTAAGTCTATTCTCTTCACTTTATCTGCACTATACATCTGCCGTATATCTGCCATTGTCAGATAAATAAAGGTACTCTGATTATGAAAAAGAATCAACTAATACTTAACTATATTGCATACTTATTGTACTTTTCATTTCATGCAACATCAGCCATAGTTATTTATGGTTGTATTTCAGCCTGTCTGAGAGGATGTTCAATATTGACTCTGTGCCTTTAATCATTAATAAGCCAATAATAATAATAATGATCTGTCATGTTCTCTTGTCATGACACTGAAAACCTGCAACTGTCAATTAAATCAACTGACAGGATATCTACATTTCTTTTTTCTAGCTGTTTTGAGAACCTTCTTTAACTCCTATTATTTCAAATCCCCACCCTCACATGTAATTTAGTCGATTATCAGGGCTTATGTTATTTTGTAAAGTGGATTTATGTATTTAGAAAATTCTCAAAACAAATCAAATTATTTCAGTAATCTCGTTGAAATAAAATAACAGTGTCCGCTTTGTTCTGTCATAACATTGACACTTATTTAAAGAACAATTCTGATAAGGGAAGTTACAGCGGGATACATTTTTATCTAAGAAATTACATTGTGGGGCTGTCAATAAAACAGAGTTAAAAGTGGGCTTTTGTAATAAAAAATATCTACTGGAACAATTAATATTTATTTAAAAAAAGGATTTAACCCATGCTTGAGGAAAATTGTTAGAACAAATCACATGTGGCTCAATTTTACCCTGGGGCCATTGCAACATGTATATTATAGTTAATCTAATGCAGCTACATGTCGTCAATAGTGAGGAAATACTATCACTAACCAGATTAAGAACACTATAGAGGTGGACAGGATATGAGAGGAGGAATAATCCTTCAATCGTGCTCAGCTACCTCAAAATTAAAAAAGTGCCTCCGGAGCTGCGAGGAACAATAAATCACAAGAGCCAATCAGGAAGCGCGTATTGTCCGGTCAGCGTCCCAATTCTGACCAATGACGAGCCCCGGGGGGCGGGGGAAGGCTTGACGCACTGAGGCTCGTGATTGACGCAAGCCTTGTTACTAAATTTAGCATCACGGAGGCAGTGAGATAGCAGAGAGCCCATTCATTGTACCGACTATTTTAGCGGTGTGATTGTGATCCAGCCAAGCCAAATATAGTCGTAGACAGGTATTTTTAGTCGTACAGCGTGTCCCCGCTAAAAGCGACCTGGGCAATATAGGATACCTGTTGTAATGAGACACAATCAGCACACTTAGTGTTATTTATGTTATTAAGTAAGTAAGAGATTGTTTTACAGTCAGCTGATATAGCCGTCATACCCAGGGAGAAACAACTGTAGAGGGGATCTCCCTGCTGCTCTCAGCTTCTCTGTCTAGCCCATGGATGGTCTAGCCGGGGATGAGCGGGGAATAAAAAGTTCGTAGTCCGAAGATATAACCTTTGGTTCATCAAACAGACACACACTACAGGCTTGCAATCTTCGCATAGCAGCGATGCTTCTTCCACACCAGCTGAGGCTTTTTTTTAGCTGAGACTGACAGAACATTACTGTTGTCAAAATACAACGCTGCTGCAGGAGAAGTCGCTTTTATGACTGAAGGTAAAAAATAGCAGAAAGCATCTTCATGGTATAGCTTAATGTGAAACGGTCTGCCCTAGGAAGCCCCTCTCCATGTTAGACACATCCCCTCTACAGATAAGAAAGGCATACATGTGCTTTTGCATGTGCTTTTCAGAGAAAACCTTTAAAAATGTTTAAGTACCCCAAACTCTCCCCATTTATCACATTTAAGTATGCAGTGAATTAGCAGAGGATTCAACATTCCAGTCATGCTCAGTTTGTCTATGAAGATTGAGTGGTGATAAAAGCTGCAGAACACTGGTCAGTGCCAGGATCAGCTGCAGGGCTTGCACATCACATGCCACCAGGGCTCAGCTAAAACAAAAACAGTGCGTGGATTTAAAAATGTGATTCAACTTAAAAATCCCCTCTTCAATTCCAATCATCACACTTGTTCAAACAGTTGTTAATAATTTTTTGTATTGTTTCTTCCATCAAAATGGGGGTGAACTCTGCGGTTGAGTGGGTGAACATTACACCTATTCAGTGGCGGCCGGCCAATAGGGGCGCCGCACCACCTCTTCCCACATTCAAACAAAATATATATATAGGCCTATATTTAAAAAAAACAAAAACATTTTTATTTTTTTTATTTGTTAATGAACAAGGTAAATATTATATAATTGGTATCAGTAAAATGTATAATCTACAATAAAATTGTGTTACAATGTCTAAAGTTACTGATAAGTCACAAGTTTCCTCCCTGGCCTTGCCCGTGTATCATTACCCTCTCTCGTCTGGGCGCTAAGAGAGGAGCCCTCAACCAGTGCAGCAGCAGCCACTAGCAGCTGACTGCTATCTGTAAACTATGCCTCCGAAACATAATTTCAGCCAATCAGCGTCGTCAAATCTGATGATCACCGGGCGCCAATGTCAGCGCCCGGTGCAGGGTTATTGGTGTAAAACTCTCGCGAGAGTTTGCGAGTCACGTGGCTGAATGTTTACGTTTGACAGGCAGCCTTTCAGTTACGATCGTTAACATCAGTGGGCCACAGCAAATGATGGTGAGAAGCTAAACTATCTATTAATTATGTCAATTAAAGGGAGTGTGATTGTAACTGTTTGTGTGACTAGCTGGATGCAAACAGGTAAACGCTGTCTTTTGTTTCCCATGCTTGCTCTTCAAACAGCCGGGGACAGATACTATGTGCCCGTGATAAATAAACATACACACACACACACACACACACACACACACACACACACACACACACACACACACACACACACACACACACACACACACATTATTGTATATAGTTGAGCTTTGACAGCATCCATCAAACTGGGTTTTTTGCCTTAATGGTCTGTTTTTCTAATATTTCTGTGTTTCTGAACCATGTCTGTGTCTGCATATAATGTTCGTATTTAGTCTCCTGATTTTAAATGGGAATTAAATAATTTGAGTGTTCCCAAAGAACCGGTGTTCTGCAGTTTGTGTGGGCCTACTGTACTGTTGAACAGTATACTGTAGAAACTATGTCCAGGACAAGGTATTTGGAAGTTTTGGAAGATTCATAGCTAACCACACTGAAGATTATGGAGGTATTGATCAGTCTTCTCATATCTCTAACATCACCAGAAGTCATAATTTAAGGGTTCATTTCTCAAAATGTTCCCCGTGTGGTTTATTCACTATTACAATAGCCCCACCTAAAATAATTTCCACCAGCCGCCCCTGCTATCATGATAATCCAGGCATTATTATCAATTATGTTCAGCTCTGATGGGGTTTTTATCGGTTTGTCATCATGTGCAAGTTTTCAATACACTCAATTGTTGATGAAGTTTATTTCAGTCCAACTCCATGGTTTATAAGTTCAAAAACATATCCTATCGGCATAGATTAATAGTTCTTCTTCATGCCCTGTTCTGTTCACCCTCTTGTGAGATTTAAAGCAATGTCTGGGTCATCCAGGGTTAGTCTTTATGAATTATGAATTAAATTATTATATACAAGCATGCTTTGATCTAAGTGTGTCACAATGTACTTACAATAACTCATTTACAAATAAAACAAATAAACATTATAAAATGGTGTAGGCTTATGTTTGGTCGGGTGGACTTTTCATTTGGTTTGCAGGTCATGTGGTTACCTTTTCACTCTCCATAAGTGTAATATTACTTTTTGTAAAGTTATGGTTAAAAGGACTACCCCGATTGTATTTTCAGTGTTATTAATTTGCAATAACAAAACAAGGCTAAATATGAATTTTGCAAATGGAATTATTACTTGTTCTCTCCTTCTTGTAAATAGATACTGCATCTTAAAAAATGTGGGGGTTTCTAATCGTCTCCTGTCTTCTACCTGTCTTTGTGTTTCCTCTCTCTTTCCTGGCTGGTCAGGATATCGGATGCCTCGGCTGTGACCTCACCATGGTGACGTGTAATCCAGATTAACCTGCTCCCTTTTTTCTGCCAGACATGGAAGTGATTAGAGATTATGACCGTGTCCTTTTTATAGAATTGGACGTGTGTGTAATCAACTGCGTCCACCAACATCCCGTGTCAGGTGACTCATTCACAACCACAGCTACATACACAAGCACTTGTTGTCACCATGCAAGACATGTTTAGATTTATATTAATTTCCTTTGTGTCTTAATCTACCCTTACCGTAACCAATGAAAATTTTAGCCCAAAATATAGATAAGCCAAAATCAGAAGGACATTCTTTATACCTTCCACAAGTTAATACATATAAATCTATTTACCATACACTTCATCCTCTGTAACCTTTTTATTTGTCCTTGCAATGTCATTCATGCAATATTATTGTAACATGCTGC